TTGCTGAAATGCTATCGAAATAAGCTTCACACACTAACACATACACAAGCTTAATATAGACAACAGGGTTGCCTACTTAAACTTCTTTCTGGGAGGAACTAGCCTCTTGCATTAACCCTTTAAGCTTTTGCCGTTTTACATATTTCGTCTAGAAATACAGTATTGTTTAATGTACAATTATTATTAATGCATTCCAAAAAAATTTGTATACTACGACATACATCATATACTTTAATGGGGCTTATTTATATAATCTAAATAAGGTAATAATGGAAATGTCGATTTTTACAATAGTTTGCAGGACTGAGCAGCACACACATTCCACACATACGCACACGAACCCCACCCAGCTACATAAACACAAGCTATTCAAAACATAAATAAACGTAACCATGAATTGTTGTTGTTCGATTCTCAACTGTTTTGCATCGAACTGGACGCCACATTTATTTTGGAATTTATGCAAAGGACTCGTAGCAGAGATACTGCAAATACGCAATGCTGCCCGGCTACCCCAGACAGGCAGACACAGCCAAGCAATAAAATATTTACAAATACTTTACGGTACTCCGGATTCGGGTATACACAATCATAAACAATCAAATCAATAATAATACTCGTTGCAACAAAAACCGAGAGCGAACGAATCTGTTTCCATTTGTCTGTGTGTGTGAATGTGTAAAGATAAATCAAGAGCCATATGCCAATAGTAAACCGGTTAAAGTAATCCTAGCTATCGAAATAAAATATCTGAGGCGATTCATTCTCCTTACGAACTTTATGCACTTGCTTTCATTTGTTTATAATCATTATATCCACGGAATCGGTTTCTCTCTCTCCCTGTCTCTGTCTCTACCTCTGTGTCTTTTTATATATCTCTCTCTCTCCCCCTCTCTGTGTCTCTCTCTGTCATTTTCTTTAAGAGAAGAGAGCTTCCGTTAACATTATTCTCTTTCCTTCTGCCTAAGTTGCTAACTTTCTGGCTCTTTGTATCACCTTCTCCTTATCTCCCTCTAAGTCCCTATCGGTTTCTCCTTTCCATTATTTTTACATTGACATTTACCTTATTATCCATCTCTCCTCCGTCTATTAAATCGCTCCTTCCCTCTCCAGACATTTTTCAAATTTTAATAGTACACATCATTTATACATTGGGGGATCTGTCAGTGTTTCGCCAACCGGTAACAATAAAATAAATCCCATTTAGTTATTTTCTTAGTAGTCGTTGAATATTACACATTCATACTTATTTTATAATTCTTTCCTATTATTTAATACGTCTTTTTATACGATTTCCAAATAACTCCATGCCTAAATTGACTGTTAATCACAATTTTCTATACAAAATGGCTGAAATTAGCTTGACAGATAGCGACTCGACGTGGGATATGCTAGAAGAGAAGACTGTAAAGAAATTGTCTGATAATCCTAGAAAATTTGGTAAGCACTTGCGCCGGGAGGTGGCCCAGCTTTTTAGGACACCCAGCTTTGTGCGAGAAATAGCCGATGAATTAAGACTACTGACTCCGCAAGTTGAGTCAAGCTCGAACGATAAGTACGTCAAGATAGATGATCTCAAGGAAACTGTGGCCAACCTCATCTCTCGCAATGTGGTCGGCCAGAGCTTGGCAATGCTGCAGGATAGTAACAAGCACTTTGGCACCATGATTGACCAAATAACCGAACACTTAGTGCAACTGAACGAGCGAGTGAATCAGGTGACATATGATTTACAAGAGATCGCCCAAGAAAAGAAATCACCACATAGCAGCCCAACGCGTTTAACTGCTGGCGCCGCCTCAACCACACACCATTCGTGTGAAAGTCAGTCGTATATAGCAAAGCCGGAAAAGCTGCGAATGTACAATGACCTCATCTGCAAATACAACAAGCAACTTAAGGATTGGTCGTCCAACGATATGTCAAACTCAAGCACCGCATCGAAGTCGGAAGCTCCAGCGTCGCAGACCAACGAGAAAGAGAAATCTGTCCGGTTGTGGTGTGTGCCACAATTTTCGGCGCCAAACTCAAAACGCCCAGACAGAGACACAGACTCCAAGCAGAAGCTCCGCTGCAAATATGACAGACGTGCAGCTGAGCGGCGTCAGTTCGATGCGAACATGCTCATGTATCGCAAGTCCCAATTTAGTTTGAAGCTAAATAGTCGCAATGAAAACTTCCCATACAAGCTCTGGAATCGTGGCTATACATCTGAGCACCTTAACATACCGCCAGCATTCCAGTAGTACTCTCTCTTCTCCACGGCAATCTTTACTCAAATAAATGAATAATAATTACGAAACAAAATGTTGAGATACGATTCTTAATAACAATTAAAAATAGCAAAACAGTTTATAGATTTCAAGTTTGTGTTGCAAGAAATACACAACGGACATGTTGCGAATTTAATTTAAAGGAAACCACACTCTATTATAGATAATTATTTTTGCCTGAAAGAAAAACATATAATTCGATTCTTTAATTTCAAACAGTCTTTGCACATAGTTTAAACATCAGTGTTGAGATTGAATGTGTTTGCAAATAAATGAAAAAGTTCGTGCATCGTAAATGAAAATGTAGTGTATGTAGAAGAGGAATCATAAAAATTATTGTGTTTGTCTTGTGGATGACGCGTTTGCTAAGCTTGGTGTTTGTCATGCCATGTCTGGTGAATATGTCTCTAGCTTTAGGTGTTGTTTTTCAGCCAGCAACTGCTCCAAGGCTAGCAGCATTGCATCCAGGAAATCCGATAGAGTTATCTTCTGGTCAACCTGAAAGAGATCTCGGCTTGTGTGCTGAGCATGTGCCAAAAGCGGTAATTTACGCAGAGTGCGTCCACTTAATCCAACACTGCGCTCCGCCAGGCTGCTGATTAGATCCTCTGAGTCCTCCTGACCTCTTTCCAAAGGCTCTGTTCGCACAATGCCCCTGGCCATCAGCTCCGTTAGCATAGACTTGTAAATGGAGACAATGGCTGATATAGCCGGCAGCCCTATATACTGACGTATATCTGCACGATCCAAGAAGGCTAGATCTATGCTATGTGCCAAGTTCGATGTTGCTAGAATGAGCACATTCGGACAGTCCTTGATGTCATCCAACTGGGTAAGCACCGCATTAACTACTCGCATTGCATCGCGAGGCTCATTGCTACTCATCGCACTGCGTTGATATGCCAGAGATTCCACCTCATCAATGAGCACGCAGACCAAATTATTTCTATCCGCAACAAGTTCACCTATTTTGCCAAAAAGGCGAGCAACCAATTTGCCACTTTCCGAGAACCACTTGGAGAACAGGCTATGGCTATTAATCTCCACAAGGTGTGTATAAGCATAGTTCTTTTGCGTCCTGACAGCCAGCTTTTGAGCGAGCGCCTTACACAGACTCGTCTTACCGGTGCCGGGTGGTCCGTGCAATAGCAACAATCTATTACAAGCAATCACATTCGAGTCCACATTATGTTGCGAGAAACTCAAGGCGGACAGAGCGAACTTAAGCAACTGGGAAGAATATGATGTATATGAGTATGAATATAAATCCATATATATCTAAAGAAGTATGATTTGGCACACCTTTTCCTTCAGCCCTTCCTCGTAGATTAAATTATCCCAAAGGCCAACAAACTCACTGGCAGGTAACAAAACATGATTGGCAGAAATCACGCTATCCAAATCATCGGGATTCACATCGCCTTCTCCATCAAAAAACCCACCGCCTGATCGCAACTCAGGGCGCTGCGTCATATAATAATGGTAGCAAAGTTTTAACCTATTATCCAACTTCACGATTCCATTTTCACCAGTGTCTTTCTCCAGTAGTATACTTTGAATGGCTGGAATGTGTGCGCTCGCATCAAAAGCTAAATTCCAACGCAGAGTCTTTAGCGATTTTAAGTACGCGTCTAACTGCGGTTCGATTTCGGCTTGAAGCGTTTGCATTCGCCTGAAAACAGAAACAAAGCTCATCTATCTTTTCTACAAGTTTATTTCAAAAAATTTCACTTACTGTTCGCATCGGTGCAGGCGTACTTCCACATGTACCGTGTTGCTATTACTTAAAAAGTTCATTGTTATAGAAACGCGCCGCGTTAAAAATAAAAAAAATTTGAAGAATGCCAATGCCAAGATCGATGTGACCAAATACTGGTATTGCAAAAATATTTGGCAAACTAGTATTATCGATGATTATATAAGAATGCCGGCGTTTACAATGGAAAACAATTACATTTATTTTGGTATTATAACTAACATCAGTACTTAATTGTTGATTCTATGAAGTATTTGTTAAACTTGCGCCATCCAAACCGCTTCTTTGGATCATTTTTGCTCCAAGACGGGTTAAGGTTAGGCATCAAGCCAGCCTTCTGAGCCATAGTAACTAATGCGCCCATTTTCTTTTGCTGCCTATGGCACAATCCAGTTATCCGCCTGGGCAGCATACAGCCATCAGATCGCACGTATTGTGATAAAATAAGCACATCAGTATGTTTAATGTCTAGACCCAGGGTACATTCTGGACAGAATTTCGAGGTGCAGGCTGGTTTTAGCATCTTTTCTGCACGTGGCGACACCACATTTACACCCTCATAGACCAGTACATTGTTTTCCAATTTCTCATGTACTTAAAATACAAAATTATTTAGTTTCAAAACAAATATCAGCAAGGTTATGAAACATCGCACTGTATGCATGGAATTTTACTTACTTTCCTTTATTAGCAGTGGTGGGCTTGTTGCAATACTACGCGCCTGCAAAAATGTACTCCGAAGACTACTGGTGGCAGCTTTCAGTAATGAAGCCATCTAATAATGTACTATTTTATTGATAAACGTAAATTCGGCTAAATTGTAAATACAATGGACTATCTTTTACGTCTTATCGATAAGTCGGCCGGGAGCATAATATCGATGTTTGAAAATCCCACAATTAAGTGCTAATCGATAGGTGCTCCCTGTCAATAGATGAAACAATTAAATTCCCAGCTTAAAGATGTGTAAGTTTCTCTTTTAGTAAAAATGCCTGTGAAGTAAAAAACAATAATAATTTTGATTTCCAGCAAAGTCAATTTCAACCAAAAGCCCTCTGATCTCAGCCGTTATATCAGGCATACTCAGCTTGGTAATTTTCGCAACGTTGCGTTTCTACGCCCAGTGGTTCAATACTTCCCAAATTAACACTCTGATTGGTGGCTACTTGTTCTCCTGGATGTTTATTTTGAGTCTCACATGCGTCTCGAATGCCGAAACATTGGTATTCGGGGCTGATTTTCAGGCTAGGCTTGTACCCGAAATTCTATTGTGTTTAGCAATGACGGCAAGTGCTGCCGGCGTCGTTCATCGCGTTTGTGCCACAACCAGGTAAGTATACACATTTTCTTAAATTTTGGCTAACATTTTTATATTTTCCAGTATTTTTTTCTCCCTTGTGGGCTTATATTTCATCAACCGAATCTCTTCCAAGTATTACAACAATCCCGTGGTTGTCGAAGATTTACCTTTGCGAAAAAGCGGCAAGAAGAATAAATAAATTTTAAATAAAACGATTATATATATATAAATACATTGAATTGAATTGTATTGTTATTCTAAAATCTAAAAGCTGATTCGATTAAGAGGCGTCTCATTGCCTGTCTCTGAAGCCACTTCACTACTTCCTTCTGCCAAAAAGCTTAGTAAATTGTAGTCAATGAAGCGTACCAACTGAAAGAGCAACGAATTTCATTAACTTTAAATGCTAATATTTGGTCTCGCTTACCATTAAGATGGACTTCGTTCCGTCCACTTTGTGCTTATCTTTCAGCTTATTTCTAAGTGTTTTGAACCACTGTGATATCTCATTCTCTATCTCAACATGAGGCAATTCGAAACCCCGATATCCAGCTTGCTTTAAAGCCGAATTTTTGTTGTTAAGCGCAGCCGTTGACAAAATTAAACTGAAGCTTTTTATCAATACATAAATTTTATGTATTGACCATTCGTCCAAAATTGTGTCCACATTTATAGTTCTTATCATTTGCCAGACTTCTGAAATCTTTTCATTTTACTCGCATTAACAATCAAATAAATATCTATTATGTAAAGCACTTACGTTTCTATAAATGTGCATAACAATTGGAGTCCGGTTTGCCAATTCCCCTATAAAAGATCGCAACAGGCCCAATGAAATCATTTTCCCTGTCTCGCTCGCTGTGATTATATGCGGCATGGCCCATAGGAAATAATGCATATAGTCATATTCCGTACTTCTCTCCGCGAGGCTAGCTACATATTTAAAGTATTCAATTAATTCCCGAGTTATGTAGTCAATCATTGTCGGCTTTAATGTATCTGAATAGTTTAAGCAGTCGTTCAGTAGCTCAATACGTCGATTCTGTATTTCGGGATCACTCAGTAGTAGCAACATAATTGCAGCAGAATATAACGACGTTATTTCCTCTAAGCTCAAGTCATTTTTAAGTGCCTTAGAAAAACCTTCACAGATCTTAAATATGTATATAAAATATTAAAGTAATTGATATGTATCATACTTGGTAATTTACCTTTTGCACATCACTCTGGGTCTCCAATTTATTTTCAAGCGTGATATTATAGTATTGCTCAAGAGGTCTTAATTTTATTAGAGCTTGATGCAAATGCATATATTTCAAATTCCTAAAATTTGAATTGATGTTTACCATTTTCAGGAGTACAATAAACAGAATATCAGCTGTTTTCTCTCTCCGCGGATTTTACGATTATTATCGAATACCTCCTGCCATCGATAAGTTGATCGAAGCACAACAGGGTTGATTATGCTGTTATTGCAATACTGCATTAGTAACTTTCGCACGCTCGCGCACGGACGGAACAGCTCAATTTTTTCATCAAAACAGCTTTTTTTGTTTTAATCGTAAGTACTGAACTCGAATTTTAAAAAGAATATATTCTTAATAAAATTAGTATAATATGGTGTCTGAAATTCATAATCCTGCGAAATACGCGTTGTACGACCTGAAGTTTTGAGCTTTTATGTATGAATACTTTTAGTAGCCATGCATACATATGTATGTACATGTGTATTTCTCTACATTAGTTTGTAAAAAGGTTATGATGAGTATGTATTAAGTGCAAGTGAAATATGTTATAATTAAATACTTTTAAATGATGATTCATATTCAACACAATTGCTTTTTAAATATACAACTGCGACTGTACCCTCATAATTAAATAAGAG